GTAGCTTTAGTAATAGTGGGGCCCGTAACGGGAAAAGAATGAGTGGCTGAAGGGAAGTGGCCGGTTTTTCCTTGTTTTCAATTCCGACCGTTGCGGAAAGCGACCGCGAGTGTGCCACCCGTCCAAATTTAAAACGTGTATATAATTTTTTTTTCTATTTTTCTCGTAATATAATCGATAGACGTTAAAATAAACGTATTTAATATATCACGCTACGAAACAATCGGTAGATCGTATTTAACGTAAAATCAACTACGTCTATTTCGTTGTTATTAAGGACATGTTAACCAGATGTTTTCTTAATCTCAAATTAAGTATCTACAATAACAGTTTTACACTTAGCGACTGAACGTCAAGTAATAACTTTATCTATCTCATGATTAACTGAAGAATTGAAAAACAGATAATTCTTGTTAGAGATGAAAATTATTTCAGAACAAACTAAAATAACATAAAATCACTTGGGTTGTGGTCAGACGTGGACCTACAGGGAACCAATCGACCCCGTAAATTTTCAAAATTTTGACTCACAAAACTTATAAATTAAAAATTCGGACCCTCTTTACCAGACAGTCTGTATCACTTACTGGTTGTGTGGCACATGTTAAGTCTCAAAGGGATGTGGTGAAAAATCTTTTCTATCCCGGTGCTGCCAAAACCTAAGTGGGTCATGGAGGTTTTTTTTTACCTACAATGACTCCAGATTGATTGATTAATTAATGTATGTAAGTTGACCTAAAAACCCACAGTTACCTAAAAAATAGAAATATAAACATTTATTTTAGAACGAAAAAAAATTGCAATTATTATTCTTTGACTTGTATTTGATCAAGAATTTGGAATTATTTCAAAAAGGGAATAATTCCACTAACATGGCATTATGATGTTTTTGTACATAAAATAAATAAAAAAATATTAAAATTAAATTGTGTTTTTATGACATTTATTTTAAACAAATTAATTTGTAAACAGAATTATAAGGGTGACCCCTACCCTTGCCCCAGCCCCTGCCCCCTATAATGCTAGACAACTCATATTGAAGGGATGCCCTCCTGGCTTGGACCCAATCACATGGACCTTTTATGTCCCACTCCTTTCCTACACCCAAATTACCTTTCGTTACCAAATAGTCTTTAATCTAGCGGTATCGTATATTTTGATCTTTTAGGTGGTTAGGGGTTCAAACCTCATTATAGATGAAGAGGCTGTATGAGGTTTTTTTGTTGTATTTACTATGTATAAATATTATATACTTCAAAAAAAAATACAATTTTATTGGGTTTTTTAATTAAAAAATTAATTACTTTTATGATAAAAAAGATACGTATAATTTATATGTTCATAATTTAACCTTCAGATCTTATTTTCGAGTAAGATTTATTGTATCCACTTGTTTGGAATTAAAAATCACGTAGAATAGTTGAGACATTTTGTTTCGATGCTGAATCGTTTTAGATAAAAAATGTCATGCACAATAACTGTATTTTCATTAATGTGTCAAAAAGAGGCTATTTAAAAAAATTGTAATGTGCATCCAAGGATGGGGATCTCTTCTTATGCTTTGCAACGGAACCCCACCCTATATATGCATGTAGGCGAAAGATTGTGTGAGAAAGAGAGTTAAAATGTGAAGCATAAGAAGAGAACTAGATCATTGATCATCTTTCATCTCAAACTCACTCAGGAATTGCGTTTGATATGAGGATTGATCAAGTGCATCTTGGTGCATCACATTCTAATGTGCATATAATGATAGAGATTATTTCTTACGTTTCTCATCTTAACTTTCTTTTTCACCGGAACTCAACCTTGTGTGTATGTGTGTTTGGTGTATCTTGATGCGCCTCATTAGAGTTGACATTTAATTATGATTGATCCAAGAATGAATATCTCTTATTTACATTTCTCACCATAACTTCTTTCTCACATGATCCTTCGTCTGTACGTACATATATATGCATGTATGTATATGTATACACACGAATACCAAAACAATGAAGTTACTTTGGATGTAAATAAGAGTTCTCTTTTTGCAATATTGTTATAGTTGAGGGGTCAAAGATAAACAATTTATCCCGGTACTAAAATCAAGGTTCTACGTCCAAACATATCATTCCCACCGTCCAAACCACAAAAAATAATCCACGTGGCATTTCAAGGAATTTTTAATTATTTATAGTTTAAATTACTAGACGATAATATATTCATATAACAAATTATAAATAATTTTGAAGTTATTTTTATTATAAATAAAAATTCTTATTTTAATAATGTCGGTTTAGTTTGAATTTAATTCGATAATAATATACAATAAACTTATACATCTAACCAAAAGGCCTTTGAATTAGCGGAATGTGAGCCTTTGACCTATTAGAAGGTCAGGGGTTCAAACCTCACCAAATGTGCATCAAAGGATGTAGATCTTTTTTTATGCTTCTCATCAAAACTCAGCCCTATATATGTATGTATGTAGGCGAAGGATCATGTGAGAAACATAAAAAGACGATGTTTTTTTTGAAGCGTGATTTATGATGACTAATTTATATACCATATATAATATTATATAAAAGCATATGTTTATATTGTTACTCAATGAATCAATAATAATAATAATAATAAACAATTTAAATTAGGTTATATATTAAAAACTAACAAATAAACATTAAAAATGTAAGAAAAATCAAGTATTGCATTAAAAAAGCTATGCATTAGGCCATGACATACCACATGCTTAATTAGCATGAGACACAAGCTTTTAGCCACAACATATCACACGTGGCGTGAGACATGAGCCGTTAGCCATGGCATGCCATAACGTCTGTTACGACGAGCCTTTAAAACGGTGTGCACTCAATGTGAATATGTGTAAATCAATCCATGCTAGCTCAACTCAACTCTAAGATCCTTATCTCGGTGTTGTATTGAACACAGAGGTCCCAACCTCCATCAGTTGCCATGTTCAGCTTACAATATAATCTAGGCTTTTTATTTAGGATTTGTAACTTTGTATCATAAGCTATTGAAATGAAGTTGTAAGTTGTTTTTGTAAGTATATTATATATATATATATATATTATATATATATATTATATATATATATATATATATGGTAAATGCAACAAATAAACTCACACACTTTTCTCATATTTAATAAGGTTTGAACTCCTGACCTTTTAGGAAGACAAAGAGACTTTGGTAAGTTGTTCTATGCAAATTCTTATTTCACATTGTTTTGTTTTTAATGCACTTCATTGTCAATATACAATATAATACTCACCGAAAGGAAAAAAAAGAACTTGATATTAAAATGGAGAAAAATAGCAAAAAAAATCGCTATCAAAATTAATCAACACGGTGGACGGCCGTTTGATTTGGGGACCAATTCCCAAACTAAGTGCAAATCACAAGATCTTTTCGGTAATAATCGGAGTCCAAGGACTAAATCCACAATAATTGACGTACCACAAGAGCAAACAGGGACAGTCATATAAGTCTTGAGTGGGTTCTCGTGTAACCGTTCAACTTATTTTCGTAAATATAATTTCTTTTGGGATATAAAAGCTGCACCCGTTAAACTTTGAATGGTGCTCTTTAGAAGATACAAGGAACATCAACCAAAAGTCCAAAAAGTCTCTCGAAATCAACCAAAAAACTTAAAAAGACCCTAAAAACGGTTGAATTCGGATAAAAAGACATCAGACGATTATACGGGGCATTGATCCATCTTAAACGTACATCTGCTTGATAAAAAACGTGGATCCATAATTGAGAACAAATACTGTAATTTAGTCTATAGTTCATTAAATGTGATAAGAATAATGAACGGTTGACTTATACGTTAAATAATTGGTACAATATTTATTGAAGTCGATATTACTACATTATCAACACGAATATTATATGGATTCGACGAAAGCTTACCATAAATAAATAATTATATAATTTGATTACGATTATGATTTTATTCTTAAAATATATACGTTAATTGTCAAAGTATGTGTTGATAATGTAAACTATTCACCTTGGTCTATTTTAACGTAAGGCTTAATTATCATCTTTTATTTATTTCTTAATTTAATATATATTTTAATAAATTAAAAATTACGTCAATAGTTTCATGAAATTTTAAAAAAAGTTGGCACAAAACTCAACGAATCTTGTTGTTCATTATTTCGTGAATATAATATTGTTACGCTTTGTAGCGAGTTTTGCATATTGGGTTGGATGTGCCAGACTCTACCCGTTGCTAGATTTTATGAGTCAATTCGATTAATAAATCGTTTTATAAAGAGCTTTGAATATCGGGTTTGACGGCCTGTTGTTAGCTAAACCGAGTCAACTCAGTTAATGGATGATCGCATTGTTCTGTAACAAGTTTCGCATCCTAGGTTTCGTGGTACGCCAAACCCAGCTCGTTGCTAGGTATTCCGAGTCAACTCCGTGAATGGATGATGACATTGTTCCCTAACAAATTTTGCATACCATGTCTTAGGGGTATGCCAAACCCATCCTGATGCTAGGTATTCCGAGTCAACTCGGTGAATGAATGATCACATTGTTATGTAACGAGTTTCGCATACCAAGTTCCAGGACACGCCAAACCCTGCCCGTTGCTAGGTATTCCGGGTCAACTCAATGAATGGATGATCACATTATTTTGTAACAAGTTCGTAGACCAGGTTTCAAGGTATGCTAAACCCAACCCATTGCTAGATATTCAGAGTCAACTCGGTGAATAGATGATCAAATTGTTCCCTAACGCATTCTGCATACCACGTCTTAGGGGTATGCCAAACCCAACCCGTTGCTAGGTATTCCGAGTCAACTCGGAGAATGAATGATCACATTGTTCTGTAACATTGTTATGTAACAAGTTTCATATACTAGGTCTCTATGCTAAACCCAAACTGTTGCTAGGTATTCCGAGTCAACTCAGTGAATGGATGATAACATCTACGATAAACTCACTCGTGAAACCTCCCACCCTCATGGAATAGCAATCTCCAATCACCAAGTCAATTCAGTGAGTGAAATAAACAACATTCATGATACATTCCATTACATAATCGCACACCTGAGTTAACTCAATGGGTTGCTTCCCTTGTGGAAAAGAAACAAAAAAAAAAGGAATATGTAATAAAAACATCATATGCACAAGATTTCTTGATCATCAAACATAGGCTCAATGAACAAACCTAACTTTTGGCCACAACTTCTTCTAGTACTTAACAAGCCATGCCCATTCACCATTGCCAGTTTTCCCAGCATAGATGAAACCGCCCGTATCTATAAGATCAAAGATGCCGCATTTCTACTCATCGGGTGCGTGAGATTGCCCGAGCCGAACATGTGGACATTCCCTTTCGGGTTCACCTCTCGACCATAGAATCTCGAGATCCCCTCTCTTCTTTCCCAACGACAAAAAGGTTCCTGCGTTATATGTGCCCAACTCAGTAATAGCAAATGAATCCCATAATGGAGAAAACGGAGACTTTGGAGTTTAACTTATTTATTTGCTCGTAAATATCCTCCAAAAGACCAAAACTTTACCCAAAATGGAGAAAGTATGAGAGAGGATTAAAAGTCTCCAAATTTGGATAACTCTACAAAATTAAATGGTGGAGAGATGTTATTTTATTATTTCCACCTCGTTTCATATAAAGTTTATTGGGATATTAAATCTATTGAATATTTTAGTAATAGAGTGCTTCAAGGATCTGGGGCTTCTTGCTACGCTATAATTGAAGTTGGATCTCCAAAATGGAGAATCTGCTGGAATTAAATGTAAATTTCTCTAGGGTCCGTTTGGTTTGACAAAATGTTTTTGAGGGATTTAGATTTCGTGAAAGGCTTTGGAATTGGAAGGATTTTGAATCTTTTGTGGGTTTGGTTTGTAGGTTCTGGAATGGAATTGAATTTCATTATTTATAGATAATTTATAAAAATAAATTATAAATAATTAAATTATCATTTATTAATTGATTATTACAAGACAAATGTTTTTAACAGATTTTAAAACATTATTACAAGCAAATCCTATGAAATGCCATGAAATACCAACTCCCCACATGGGATTCTAAATCCAATGTTTGTGGCATTTCATCGAAACCCAGGGATCTCAATTTTGGACTTCCCTTTAATCCAAATGCGGGATTGGAATGGAATTCAATTATCCCACCAAATCCCGCAAACCAAGCAAGCCCTTAGAGACTTTAACTTTTGTTTCTCCATTTTGGAGAAATTATAGAGAATCTGTTGGAGATGCTCCAAGTAAATGAGATGGGGTTTGAACTCAAACCTGCAAGTTCTAATAATTTGTGTTCTTTTGAATCTTAAAATTTCTTCCGTTATGCAACAATATTATTTGTATCTATAAAAGCAATCTTTCTTTCAACTTAAGTATTTACTGGACTCATAAAGATTCAAAATCAAGTCGAGTTAAAATCGAAGATTACCTAGAGTAAAAGGAACGATATATAGCAATGCTGGTTGGCCATGACCATCCATCAGATTCAAAGCTACATAAGTTATAAGGAGACCTGTTGTATAATACCATAAAAGTTCCATTAGTATATGCAGAAGAACCCAAAAAAGTTGGTCAAAAACGACAAAAAGCAATGTGTAGATCTTTCTTACCTAATCCATAAGCAAACATTGCCCACAAGAAATATCCAGAACGAATGTGCTTTTTCGCCAGCCAATCATACCTGCATAGTGTTTTTCCAACAAAACTAAGCACTTAACAAGAGCGTAATTCTCAATTGAACCTCGGAATATGTTCCGTTATGTGAAAGCTAGTTGGGATTGCTCAAATGGTCAAGACTTGTGTATGATAATGTAACATCTTAGGCCAACCGTACTAGATATTGTTCGCTTTGCCCACACCTGGACTAAGATCCCACATTGGTTGGGGAGGGGAAGAAAGTTTCCTTGTAAGGGTCTCCTCTATCAGACGCATTTTAAAACCGTGAGTCCAAGTGTGGACAAAATGGACAATATCTAGTACAGTTGGTCTGGGATGTTACAAGTGGTATCAGGGCCAGGAACCGGACTAGTATGCCAGCGAGAACACTGAGCTCCCAAGGGGGTGGACCGTAAGATCCCACATTGGTTGGGGAGGGAAAAAAAGTTGCCTTACAAGGGACATCAGACGTGTTCTAAATAAACAATTGTGCGTTCTATGTAAATGTGCTACGACAAGTTGATAGGACGTTTTTATAAGTCTTAAACAAGTTCTTTAAGAAACTTTTGAAATAAAGCGTTCTATTAGTCTTTTTATATGACATTTTTGAAAGAAAAAAATGTCATATAAAAACATTGGTCCTATAAAAAGGATGTGTTAACAGGACCTTTCTCAAATGTCTTGTTAAAAAAGCTCATAAGACATTTTATTTCAAAAATGTCCTATAAACTTGTTAGGACGACCAAAAGCACACCATCAACTTATTGTAACACCTTTACATAGGATGTAGAATTGTTTGGTCCTATAAATTTAAGTCTTATTAACAGTATATTAGGACATCTACGGCATTGTTTGTTAGCAGCTTAATGAGCTTAATGGGACTCGCAACTTATTCGGTAAGCTATACATAGTTGTTTGGTAGTGGGCCTAGTGGCTTAGTAGTAAGCTTCTAGGGGGGAGCTTTATGCTGAAAGCCAAGTTTTTCTCCAAACCTGCCCCTTTCAATTAAAAAGCACACTCCTTCCATCTATGAAAAAACCCTCCCAAACAAAAACCTTCTCAATCTATACAAACAGATTAATGCACACAAACATCTTTATCCATACAGAACTTAATGGAAAACCAACGAAATAGCCCCTTAGAAATATTTGGCGTCCTATAAAGCTGATTTGTTATAGTGAGATTTCATGGTGAACCAACAAAGATGCATCGATGGTTTCCAGGTCTTATCAAAGAAGAATGAAAGAAAAGGATGCAGAAACAAACCTAAGTGAAAATGCAATCAGCAGTCCAGGTAAAAGAATGTCACCGAAGCCAATGATACTATAACCGCCCCATGGATCAAACATACGTGGTATCTTCAGCAGCATCGGGATACCATCCTCCCCACTTTTATCACCACGCGCCACCTACAAAAACAATTATCTCCGAAATTAGTTTAGCTCTAAAAGCAGTCGATTAGTGATGAACTAGGAACAAGATTGACATACCACAATCATCACACTTTCATGGAACAATTTCTTAGAAACGAAAACCCAGAAAATATCGTACAAGAAAGCACAACCTAGCAGAACGGTGCCAACCTGATCCAGGAAACACAAATGTCATTATTTCAAGACATCATCGCTAGAATGGGATGGCACGTTGTCCAACTCTTGGTTGAGAATTTTTTTTACCTTGAGATTAGGTACATGCACAATCTGGAGAACGGTAATTATCAGCGTAATTCCCTGACCGAATGAACAAACATATCATTAGTAGAACCTTATTAGATTTCAAAATGATCCATTCGATCACATTGATGGCAATCACAATAGGATCATTGTAGATGGAAGACAATGAAAATGGTTCACAAAGCTAAATTTTGTTAAAAATCATGACAAAAGTTAAATTATATGCAACCCTATTTGCTTCTTGAGAAGAAATTTAAAACATTAATATGTGATCGAAAAGTTTGCTTACAAGTATATCTTGACCGATCCATGCAAACTTGGTTTCACGATACACTGCCCAAAGAACAGCAAAGACTATACAGAATGGCAAAACAGCCAAGGTAAGATATGAAACTGCTCCAAAGAATGGTACTTTAATGAAAGATTGTGCTGCTTGCTTGAACCACCTGAAATTTGTTGAAGTAGATATTTTCAATTGTCACAGGTCTCCCAAGCCAAATTAGCCTCTGACCTTAATCTTATGTCTATAACTTATTTAGCTGATCGATTATTATATTACGGTCACAGCATAAGAATAACTACTTTCTTGCGGAGCATACAGCTTTATAGTATGATTTAAAAAAACAAATACAAAGAGAAGAGATATGGCACCTTGACAGCAAAGCAACTAAGCAAGTTTGCATTCCCTACACGTAAAAACCAGTCTTTAGTTAAACTTGTCATATTAGCCAGAAATACTGGAAGTCAAAATAGTGGTGTTCTGCATATTTCCTTCGATAATGTTGGAGTGACACCATTACTCCCCGAGATGGGCTTGCTCAAGACCATCTTGGTAATTCTGAGTTCGAATCACAAATTTGTGAATTGCAGTAAATTTGTGGTGTGTTAATGGCAGTTGGTAGAAGTTTTCAACCCCCCTCCCTATCCAGGTTGACTCACCTTTCAGTGATGTTTGTAGGGTCATCAACTGAAAATATGCTTTAGTCAACCGTTAGGGTCGTTTGGTACGTGGACAGGATAGGACTGGATGGGCGGCAGTGAGGTAGGCCGGTAAAAGAACTGTGGAAGGTTTTAGGGATTTAATCCGACATGGGGTAGTTTAGTAATTTACCAAATTTAGCCCATCTCCCTGCTTTTTGTTCCACCGGATGAAAAAATGCATCTTTGTCCGATTCAGTCATGTTCGACCCCAGTCTAATTATCACAAACGTGGGACAACGGGTTTTTGTTTTGTCCTGTCTCACGTACCAAACACGCCCTTGTTGAACATTGAAAGTGTGAGATGGTGATATGCAGAAAAGGACCACCAAAAGTCCAAAGAACCATGCGGATGTTAACTTTTAACAAACAGTAGAGGAGTGATACCTCCACGCCTCCTATGCAGAAAAGAACCACCAAAAGTTCAATGAACCATACGGACATTAACTTGTATAGGAGAACCAAGAAACAAGAAGCAACGATCACAAACAAGACTGCTGATTTTGTATTGACTTCCACAATACCGCTTGTACCAACAACTTTTGTGTTTGAAAGCTCCTCTGAAAAATCCTACAAGAACCATACACCGAATACGTCAATTCAACGCCCAATCACTGCCAAAGAGAACGATTCGGCTTCAAAAAGATAAGAATACTAGATAATTAACCAGAGACAACATTATTACCTGCAGTAACTTTTCATGTTCTATAGCTGCTTCTCTAGCACTCCATGCAGACCAATAAGAAGCACACAAGATGGTACCGACTGCCATCAGCCATAGAAATACTTCGGCTATGTCTACCACTGGTCTTCGTGGTGAGTATAACTGCACAGAAACTAGAGTTCGGGCCTGTTTGTTAGCAGCTTAATGAGCATAATGGGACTCACAGCTTATTAGGTTAGATATACATGATTGTTTGGTAATGGCTTAATGATATAGAAAATGGTTTATTCAGTAAGCTTCTAGGGGAACTTTGTGCAGAAAGCCAAGTTTTTTCCAAACCTGACCCTCCGAATAAAAACAGCATGCTCTTTCCATCTATGAAAAAACCCTCCCAAACAAAAACCTTCCTCATTTAAACAGACAGATTAATCCACACAGACAGCTTAACCATATAGGACTCGGTAAAAATCAACCAAACATCCCCTTTGGTTGAAAACCTTCAGAAAAGGATAGGTGATGAAAACTATTCTATAAGGCAACTGGAAACTAAAAACAAGAGGGCTTACTTGATGAACGATTGGACAACATTCTTTCTAACTCCACACCAGCATCTTGTGGAAGCATGACGGTTGGTATGTGTATGTCTAGATCAGTTTCATCAGGCTCACAAACCATCTTGTAGAGCTCTGCAGGTTATAAAAAAAGAAAGAAAAAGATCGTTGGATTCAATCGTGATCTGACAGTCAAATAAAGAAGATCTTGTGGACACAAATCAATATCATAAATTTGTTTGTAATGATAATGTTGCATTGGGACACAATCGTAATGGGCAAATGTGTAATGTTAAATTGGAATCTTTCTAAAAAGGGAAAACGTTGCATTTTCCAAGATACATTTCAGATATGAGAGTGGTTTTTGTATATCTCCCATCTTCTAATATAGCCATCTGTTGTTACCTCTTTGGTTATTTATAATAAGGACTGCTGAAGCACCGGCAGCTTGTGCAATGTTTGCCTTTGTTGTGAATTTGCAGTGACCTCGGGTCACCATGATGACATCACCAGTAAGCTGCCATAAGACAAAGGTAACTAGGTTAATACTATAATAAATTATTTATAAGAACTGAAATTCAATTTTGTTGTCCATATTAACAATTGGGAAAATCTATAAATATCATAAAAGGCTGTGGAAAACAAGAGGCTCATTTCTTTTGTCGAAATGGCTTATTCAACTTGGATGGTGGGAGTATCATTATAACCAGGGTGGACAGAGACCTTTTTCTTTGGTGGACTACAGCAATCATGAGGGTCTGATTGAGTAAGATGAGTTCGGTTAGCATTTTTCTCCTTAGATACAATGGTGGTTCCAAATCTTGCACCAACGCCAACGAACTCTGCGCCTTCTACACCATCAACCCAAGTTTGAACTTTCACCTGACAAAGGAAACCAACAGAAAATTTAGAGTATAATGATGTCACAATCATGTGATTAACAATTTGAATCTTATAATTTGAAAGCAAATGACATGAATCCTAGTGACAAATCACAGTCAAGTCTGGTTGAGAATTAACCCTTTTGTTCCTAAATATATAGCATTATTCCCTCCTTCCAGAAATAAGTGTCCACATTTCTATTTTAGTTTGTCCCAAAATAAGTGCCCACTTTCAAAAGTGTCTACATTCCAATTCTATCCTTAATTATGAGATGAAGAAATTCATTACTCCCTCTATTATTAAGAATACAATTGTCATTTAGTTGAATAAAAGTGTAATATTTACACATTTCTAAAACTAGCTTTTGTTCCTAATTGTTTATGCGGACTTATGCATGGTGCATACTGATGCAACGTGAACAGAAACGTTTGTGGTTGGTATTTGGTAGCTATAATGGATAACTAACTAAGGGGGCAAGACAAATTCCCATGTTATACTTCAATAAACTTCTTACCCTTTGCATGGAAATTCGAGCAAAATGGATTCAAAAATTAAACAAAATGAGATCCAATTCCAGTTTCATACTTTGAATTCCATGCTATGACTTTGAAAAATGCTTCAAATCACTTTGAAACAGAAAAAGGCTTGAAATCTCAAATATAACATATAATCAAACTATAACCTGGCTTCTGTCAATCAAGCTATAATCTCTCTTAATCTGACTAGCTGTTACCTACAATCAAGCTACAATCTCTCTTAAAATCTAAACTCAACATACAATCAAGTTAGAACCTCACTTTAAATCTCTAAATACAACACACAATAAGCTATAATTTCACTTCAGATCTCTAAATACAATATACAACCAAGCTAAACTTACTTCAAATCTACAAATATAACATACAATCAGCTATAATCTCACTTCAAAACTCTAAATATAAAATATAATGAAGGCTGAAGCTATAATTCACTTCAAATATGTAAATATTTTAATGCAATCAAATTGTGATCTCAATTCAAAGAAAATATATGGATCAAACACCTAAATTGATCATTCCTGTATTACAGCCATGAACACAACACAGATATATATGTGTGTGTGTGTGTGTATAACATTTTTGCCATACCATCAAACTAACAAACATTGAACAGTATCCAGTTCAGAAATCAAATAAACATTAAGAATAGATTAAAATATTTTAAAATTGAAAGGGGGGTTTTACCAGCACAAAGTCATTCTCACAACCAGGCTTCTTCGGAGCAAATTTATCGTCATGAACAATGTCACCGGCAATCACCGGAGTAGGGCTACCGAAGAAAACAACCATCAATGATAATACAAACCAACAAAATCTAAGAAACCCCATGAAAAATTAAGTGAAGCTACGATAAAATTCCTTGTTCTTCTTCACTGCATCACACACTCTTCAACATATTAATGCAATTCAACAGCTGTGTGTTTTGAATCAAAAGCACCAACAAAACTGAGTGATTAAAGAAGAACATGTGAACAGATCTCCTCCTATCTCGTAGTTTCCGCTAGCGTGTGTTATGGTGTTTGTGAGTGTTTTGCAGACCAAAATGCAAAACCCACGGTTGCTAGAGAACAGAAGTTGAACCAATACGACGTCGGTGGGAAGATCTCTTGTTTGGATCCTGCCGGATTAAAAGCGAAAAAACCGGGGAAGGTCCGGAAGGATAATATGTCCAATAAATTTTCCTTTACTGCCCCTAATGATATATAATGTTTGCAATTTAGTCCTTCAAAGTTTTTTAAAATGGTAATATCGATAAACAATATAAATTGATTGCAAGTTTAGTCCGATGATCTTTTGTTGTTACTTTTTTTGTCCAAAAAAGTAGGATTTCATTTAAATGAAGTTTGTCAAAAATGTTAAATGGGTTATTACAACATTTCCAACAGTTATGCTATTTCAGTTTTTTTGGATATTTGGAATAAATTTATTCTAACAGTTATGTTAAACTCTCATCTGAAATAAATAAATAAAAATGAGAAATTGTATATTATTATAAATTATAAAGTTATTGTAACAGAATTTGAAAAAATAATTTAATAAATATAAAGGTATTTTTGAAAATAAATAGGTTACGAATAAAAAAATGGGTATGAAATCCAACTATTTTGAACAAAAAAGGTAACATCAAGAAACATGTTAGACTGAAGTTGCAATCATTTTATATTTTTTGATCAATATTGGTAATTTAACAACTTGAGGTACTAAAGTGAAAATATCATACATCATTGAGGATTTAAAAAGTAAAATTTGTTGCATAACCTGCACTGGTTCTTACGCTTTTAAACGTTTTGGGTAATAAAACTACAAAGAATGATACGACGCCGGATTAAAAGCGGACGAACCGGGGACGGTTACATTCTCCAACAATTTATACTTTATTTTTATTATCATTTAATCCACAAGAATATATGTTTTTTGCACTTTAACCCCTCAACTTTGTAAATTTACTCAATAAGAGTAGGGCTGTAAATGAACCAAACGTTCAGCAAACCGTTCGGCGGAAAGTTCGTTTATGTTTGTGTATTTAATAAATAAACGAACATGAACAAATTTTTTTGTTCGTTTAGTTAAACGAACGAACATGAATAAAAGTCTCGTTCGTTCATTTATGTTCGTGAACGTTCGTTCATTTACCGTTTATTTATATATTAAATTTAATATATAATCTTTTATTTATTTACTTTGAATTCAAATAATATTTATTTATGTTCGTTTAGCCCGTTCGTTTATGTTCGTTTAGCCCGTTCGTTTACGTTCGTTTAGCATGTTAACGAACGAACATAAACGAACACGAACACGCCTTATTTCTAAACGAACGAACACGAACACAAAGATTTTCGTTTGTTTACCGTTCGTGTTCGTTCGTTTGTTCGGTTAAGTTAAACGAACGAACATGAACAAGCCTCCGTTCGTGTTCGTTTACAACCCTAAATGATGATGATTGACGCCTACAAATTTGGTCGATTAACGTTTCACTGTAAACGAACCACCGTCTTTGCCCACAAAAATGTTGAGCATAATATAGGCAACAGTCCTGTATATACGTTAATAGTCTGTTTGCTAGCAATTTAATGGAACACACAGCTTATTCGGTCAATTATAAATAGTTGTTTGGTAATCGTTTAACGGTATAAAAAATGACTTATTCAATAAGTTTATAGGATGAAGCTTTATGCAAAAAACCAAGTATTTTTCTAACTTGTTCCTCCTAATTAAAAAAACATATATTTCATTTCATCTATGAAAAAACTCTCTCAAACAAAAAAAATTCAATTCATACAGATAAATCCACACATGCAGCTTTATTCACACCGAATTTAATGAAAAACCAACCAAACACTCCCGAGTCAACCGTGATCGACAGCAAGTAATTGCTACGAAAGATTTACATATCGAAGACATGCAACGATGAATATATGACGAGGAAAGAATTATTACAATTTCCATGACAACATGATGGATTCAAATACAAACAGAATCTCACATTGAAATCTAGACAAACTACCCCGAAAATCTTGACGTTCACATCTCCATCTAAATCTAATCTCGAGAACGAATTTTCCCGGAAAAGGAGATTCGAACCAGTGACCTCTAAAATACACAAAGGGTACTATCGTACATTTATCTCTAACCGAACAAAATTCAAATCCAGTCTTGTTCCTACCGAAACTGTACCTTTGATCGATCACATAACAGCATAGAGCAGCAACTCACCTGAGGATGTAAAAAAGAAAATGGAAAGATGACATCAGTTTTCAAGAATATGTGGAACCCCATTAAATTACTGATAGTAAGAGCCCTTTTGGAGAGAATCAGAGAACGAATGTTTCAAAATATACTGAGGTCAAATCGTCCAAATCTAGCTGAAGTGGAACTCCAAGATTATTTTTGGAGATACACAGACTGATGTGTACATGACAGATGATCCCTTTTTCAAACAATGCATAAGAGATATCGATAAATATTTTCGTATAAGCCCTTTTTCAAATTCGAACAATGCATAATGCATAAGTGACCAAAGGGTCATTGGCCCAACAGTATCTGGGTTACCTGTAGGGCCCAGTCTCTCAGGAGGTCAGGTGTTCAAGCTTCAACAAAAGTGAGAAGAGTGTGTGTGAGTATTTGTCGTATATAAATATTATTATATACTTCAAAAAATATTTTTGTACCCAATGTCGGGGAGGGACTCATTTGCCTTCAAAAGTCGGTTTGATCCATCATAACAAACAAAATGGCGAACCCTCTAACTCATCGTATTAGAAAGCCTCGATATACTTGGTTTTGTAACGAGTTCAGTAACTCTCGGGCAACCTGCAGTAAAAAGCAGCAAGAGACAGGATTATCGAGGGTGCATTTGACAATTCACAATCATTTTTCGAAATGGATATAATTCTTGCCCATAAGCTAAAAGAACGAAAATTTACCGCCACGGAAATTCACTGGTGTCGATTCCCGATTGATGTAGTTCATCGACATACTGCAAGGCTTCTCGACATTCTTCCCTATCATCAAAAAACTCGGTTGTTTCGCCCACTGTGTCAAATGTCTCGTGACCTTTTCCAGTAACCACCTATGGCAAAATCAAAAGAAGAAAAACTTAGGAACAAATATGGTCCCGGAGGTGAAGCGAATTAACTCGGTTGATTGGACAGAAAAGTGAACTAACAGACGGAAATACTTACAACCACATCACCCTCCTCGCCCATGGCAACAGCAGAACGAACGGCCACCCTTCTAATATCGTGAAGGAAAACTCTATGACCATTTGGAAGTGGAGGGTGGTAGTCATTTTCTTGATGCTTCAAGTAATCCTGCATGGTCCATCCTATGCCGGCTAACATGTCGTCCAAGATGTCAACTGCAAAGATAAACCGGTTGTCGACACGTGCTTGAGCAGTTTATAGTGATTATGAATCGATGTCTTTCAAGGAGCATTTGGTACACAAATAGGACCGGACAGGAGAGAGTGAAGTAGGCGGGTGAAAAAAATTGTGGAAGGTTTTAGAGGTATTAATTTGATATGGGTAGTTTAGTAATTCACCATGTTTGTCTGTCTCCCTTGATTTTGTTCCACTTATTTTGGTGGGACAGAAAACAAGCATTTTTGAAACGATTATGGTTCAGACATACTTACGTGGATCCTCGTTCCTTGGATTTTCCGATGTCAGCATAGTGATGTCACTCTTGTCGGTTGCAATCTTTGTCATAACCGGTCTTTTTCCTCTTTCGGTCTCACCAGGACAACCGATAACTACAAGTAACGCATAAACACAGGTCAGAAAGAAACCCAGAAAAGTTCAAACGAGAATCACAAGTATTTTGGGAACCAGGAGAACCGGTATATATATATATATATATAGGGTCAGATTCACAGGAAAACCGCAAAAAAATGAACTGAGAAACACCCTAGTAACCAAACATCTGTATGGTATGCACATGAATCATGTATGATCATGGAACTTCTCACCTTTATATATATGTATGTACAAGGTCAGGAGAAAACCGCAAAAAAATGAAAACTGAGAAACACCATGGTAAATGTTCATTTTGGACCGTATGCACATGCGCATACAAGTAATTTGTAAGCAATTTGTTGGGTATGCACACATTCATACCAAGAAACAACTTCAATTATTTGTAGGCACATGTGTATACCGTCTAGATGAATGGTTACCAGGGTCCTAAATTTTTTATTTTTTGGAGGTGTTCCCCTGAACCTCCGTATACATATACATATATGTATATATATATATATATATATTATATTATATGTGTGTGTATATATATATGTATTGATGCATATACACTAACAAAATATGTACCTTTCAAATAGTATATTCATCGATGTATATGTACTATATATAGTCGTTGAAATTGATATAGTGGATATGCATCATTGCATATTTCACGGTTTTCAAAATATTTATGGTTCTTATTTGAACCTTCCGATCAAATTTCGTAGAAGAAGAATGCTAGCTTCATATAGCTTTAGCTCAAGATGCGGTAAGACTATTTTAGACATTTGACTAATAATCGAACATTGTATTCATACCTGTGATGATCCGCTTCGGATTGAGTTCCCTAACGTTATCAAGAAGTCTTGATAAATCATCGGGGGTATTTGCATAATCGACAACCACTCCATACGTTTGTTCCTCATCGATCAACTCGCATCTACCCGGCACTACATCAACCTCTTCGATCCCCCTAACGATATCTTCCAATGGTGCCCCTACCGCAATCCCGACAGCCACAGCTGCAAGAATGTTGTAAATATTTTGCCTCCCAAGTAATCCGGATGAAATCTCCAAAATACCCTGGGGCGTATCCACCAAAACTTGCGTCTCAAAGAGTGAAAGATCAAACTGTAATGGGTGTACATCGGCTCTCTTGTCCTCCATCGCGAATGTCACAACAGGCACGTCTTGATTTCCTTGTGCGATAAAGAGATGGGCGTTTTCGTCATCGATGTTCACAACTTTCCGATGCCGTGTGGGGTCCACCATTCTCGCAAACAACTTAAGTTTCGCATTCCGATACTCTTCCACACTCCCGTTGACATCCAAATGGTCTTTACTTAGGTTTGTGAAAACCGCAATATCGAAATCAACCTCATCACATTTTCCCGAAGCAAGTTCGTGAGATGAAGCCTCCATAACGAGCGATTCCGTCCCGTTATGAACCATCTTCGCCATCAATCTTTGACGGAAAACGGCATCCGGGACTGTATTTTTCGTCTCCAATAGGCTATCCCCGTGAATATAATGAGCCACATTCGTTATCATCCCGGTTCTCAATCCCATAACCTCATACATCCCTTTTATCAAATATGCCGTGCTCGTCTTTCCGTTTGTCCCCGTGATCCCAATCACCGCGATGCTCTTCGACGGATGCCTATAAAACGAAGCCGCTAACGTAGCTACAACCGAACTCGTATCTTCTACTAAAACCAACGCTTTACACCCTAGCGTTTCCTCGATATCGATTTCTTTACTGGCTACAACCGCAACCGCCCCTCTTTTATCGGCCTCTGTTAAAAACAAGTGCCCATCGGTTTTCTTCCCGACACAACATACAAACAAGTCGCCAGGCTCGACTAACCGTGAATCGTGCTGAATTCCAGTGATTTCGATCTCTAAATTTCCCAAAACAGAGATCGGTACAACCTTACTTTCGTCTAAAAGCTCTGCTAATGTCATTCTACACTTGGGTTCTACTATTCGAACTTGTCCTCTACGAAAAGTATCGAATTTACCATCCATTGCAGATGAATATGGCGATTCCCCGATACCCAAATCATCATCGATCTCAACATCTGAATTCTCCACCTCCGAATCGTCGCCGGTTACTTTCAATTCTTCGAGTTCTTCGATTTCCTCCAAATCATCTTCTTCTTGAGACTGTAATTCATCTACAACTTCTTCAATCTCCTCCTCCTTCGACTGTAAACGTTGTCAATTTGACTTATAACTACAAAATTCCAATTAGGGTTTATACGAACACAAAAGGATCGACAATTTTACCTCATTTTTCTTTGGATTTGGCTTCAACAGTCCTTTCTTAACAAATTCCTTCCTCTTCAAAGCAATCGAATGATCAATCTGAGAATACAAATCTCCCCCGGAATCCGACTCATTATCGCCCTGCGAAACAGGATTATCAGGTGCATCTTCAACATCTTGAATTGCTTTCAGAAAAATAGGTTGGTCTTTTGTATACTCTTCTTCTTGAGCTTTACGAGCACGAGCAATTCTGAGGTCGAGTTGTTGGAATCTAGATACACCGTGCATGCTGTCTTCGGGTGCTTCCGGTGGGTCGCCGTCTGCTGGATGTGAATAGTGTTGGCCATCGCGTCCGATGGCAAAAGTGGTGAGATTTGTGTGGTGGAGAAAGGGTGGGAGGTGGTGCCGGAGTGGTGGCGGGTGGAGGTGGGGTTTAGGGAGAGAAATGGAGGTGGTGGAGGAGGGGAGCGGGGAGGAGAGGGAGAGGAACATGGCGGAGGGTTTAGTGTTCGACAAGAACAACGATGGGGGGATAAGGATATGAGATGGGGTTTTTCCGGTGAGTGAATTACGATTTTGGTCCCTATGCTTTTGTGATTGTTACACATATGGTCCCTAAACTTCATTTATTGCCGAGTAAAAGTAAATTACGTTTTTTCATCCTTACGGTTCGTTAAAAATTTCGGACTTAGTCCTTATGGTTTAAAATTTCCGGTTTTTATCTCTATCATTTGCAATTCATTTTTATTTTCATCCCTAAGGTTAAAACACCATGCTATCTTCGTCCTCTTTAATGAAAACCATAAATTTGCATCAACTAAAACATGAGACATTTCAAATCCAACATCAAGATCAAGAACAACCCAAAAAAAATACAAAATTTGGTTTCAGATTTGAAAGGAGCTCAATGACGGTGGTAGGCTTGACCAATCAGCGTTTTCATTAAACCCAACTTCTTCCAGAAACACTTCTCTAAACAAAGCCGAGCAACTTCAGTGCACTAAGTCAGATTAGCATCTTTTACTGGTTCAATGGACGGTATAATGCCTATGCCTTGATTTTAATGGGGTTTGAAGAGAAAGATGATAAAGATTGAAAAGATCAAGTGGACGGTCTTCTTCAATGGTTTTTTGGTGGTGGAGGGAGACAAGGATGAGTAGGAAGGTGGCCATGGAATGCCTTGAAAAAGACACATCGTCGCAACTCGTAAAGCTTAAAGTTTGAACTTGTCGCCATGTCACGTTTTATGAACATGTCATGTTTTACGTCATTTAAAACCTTGATTATAATTAATGGAGAACTAATTATCATTGCTATTGCTAAAACTTCGGTTATAATAATGTTCAGTCAAGTGTTTTAACAAGTAAAATGAGGATTGATAAACGTTTGTTAATCATATAAAGGTGACACTTCAATTATAAATCTTCAGTTAAATGTGTGTATATATTTGTGTAGTATACATACATATTTTGGTGTACATATATTTCCGCCTCGTGCTTACGCCTCATACCGCCTCGAGGCTTACGCCTCACCTCATTGAGGGAAAACGTCTTGAGACCCGATTCCGCCTTTCAAAACCTTGGTCCCGTGGTCTAAGTTGTTACTTTTTTGGTATAGGATTAAACCACTTTAGTAACGGATCTTTATGAAAATAATCACTCTACAATTTAGACCCATCTTGAGTATCCTATGTGGCCAAAAAGCTCTCTAATAAGCTCCATTGTGGATTTTACACGTCACAAGCAACCACACGGTAAATATTTGTATGTTATAATTATTAAAATAGATCTTATTAATCTACATATATGCACCAACCTCTAAATCTACCTGAAACTTGAGGAATTTGAATCAATGCCTACCGATTACTCGTTGTAGGGCTTGCCTGATCATCTTTGCCGTCAATGTCGTACAACTCTTTAACTGCAATATGCAAGTGTATCAAGCATCAAGAATTATGATCACAATCTGTAATGGTGTGTTTAATATACTGAACATGACAGAACAAGGATCATAGTTTCATATTTAGCTGAACTTTAAGGTTGACTATTTATGTCTAATGATACAAGGTGGAACAGACATATGTTTTACCAATATAACATCAACATAATACCTAATTCAACATCAAATAAGTCTCCCTCTTTGCATTTTATTCATTATGAAAATTTTATTTATAGTATTTTATGTTCTTCAAACTTTCACATTACTGTCCTCAAAATTACAATTTTTATACGATTTCTATATTTTGCTTAATTTATGTAATTTATTAAATATTAATAATAAAAAATAATACATAAAAGTATAAAATAAAAATTAAAAATCATATAAACTTTGTATTTTAATGTTATTTTAATCGTCTTGACAAAAACTTTCTAATGATATATTTTGAGGAAATTAACAAACATAGTCATTTCAACCGGACAAATTTATCTCTTACCCATTTCTCTCCCATTATTTTTAAAATTTCACTACCTCCGCAAATAGCAAATTCTCAACTTGTGAAGAGGTCAAAATGTGAAAAAAGAAAAAAATCTGAACATGGTCTGCAAGTACAAGTACGGGGACCAAGTAGCACTTGCAAAAAATAATTTACAGATATGGTCCCTATATTTACGGACCATGTTCATAAGTTCTTATTTTTTTTTTACATTTTGACTCATTCACAAGTTGAGGAGTTGCTACTTAGTATTTTGGAAATTTTTGAAGAGAAAAGTAGAGGTGTTTGTGGTGCAGTTTGCGGTTTGAGCATTTTCCCAAAATTGCACCGCATGTGCGGTTTGTTTCTATCGCATTTTATGCCTACAATCCAATTCCTATAATTTTAAAAATATAAAATCAATGATAAAGTGATCATAGTCCCAAAAAAATAAAGAATTTCAAAACATCCGATTCCTAAATACATATTGTATAACTAAAAATTGTACAAAACTTTTAAGTTAATTTATTAATATTGCCAATTGGAACAAACTCAAAGTCCAAAACACAAAGTCCAAAAACATTACATAAAATACGAAATTATATACATATATATATATATATATATGTGTTATATATAAAATTTAAAAATACAAAATATGCGATGCGGTTTGATAACTCAAAACCGCAAACCGCACCACATAATGCAGTTTGGTAAAAATATAAACCGCACCGCAAAAGTTCTATACCGTGCTTTGCAGTGCGGTGTGGACGGTTTGTACGGTTTGACGGTTTGGATGAACATCCTTACAGAAAAGTCTAAGAGGTAAATATATAAGGCTAAAACGGGTATTTTTGTTAATTTCCCTATAGCTTGTTATAAAAAAATATAAACAACTTATTAGGAGTAAATTGGTTATTTTATCTGTTTTTTCGTGTCAAGTTCTGTCTCACCAGACACTGAACAATTATTCTGTCCAATTCTATTGTATCATATCCGGATACCAAGCTCACCCTAAATGAATTCTTAAGTATTGCTTGCATACCTTAGATTCAATGCTTAATGTGAGAATCCCATCAGCGATAGAAGAATGAACCGAGTGAGATTCCAAGTTTAGGCTGCTTATTGCATCAAAGACTTGAACCATCATATTGTCTCTCCATCGGCACTGTATCTCGATCGCTACGTCTTTTTCTATCACGCTCACCGTAATACAATCCGACAAACACTCTTCTTGTAAATCTTCGAGATCACAAGAAGCTTTTCTTTTGATGGCATAGTTATCGGAGGTTCTTTCTTGCAGGTCTTGAGATTTCTTGTTTTCTTTATCTCCGACGTGCTTGTTCGATTGTAACGCTTCCACTCGTCTCTCGAGCATTTTTAAGTAATCGATAGTGTCATCGAGAAGAGACACTTTATCAACCTAATAGAATATCATTGTTTTGTGTCAGAAGTCAAAGATAAAATATCGGGGCATTGTGAAGAAGTTTACTGAGCTAAATAACCCCTCCATAGCAAACACAAAGGGTGTGAAATTTACCTTGCCTCTAGAAGGCACCAAGGAGCTTAGAACCGAAAACCGATGGTTGATGTTATTTGCATCGTCGGCCTCCAGTTTCTGCAGCTGATCCAGTATCCCATTCTCGTCACAGGGCCGAACTAATCGATTCCGGTGCATTTTTGGGACTTCATAAAGCACCTTCTTCAATAACATTTGTGAACAACTTCCTTTCCATTCTATTCCATCATAATTTTTCCAACTAATGAAAGCAGATTCCTTAAAATCACAGTTTCTAAAATGAGGTCCAAGAATCAATCTCTGGGTATTCTTGAATATCTTCGAAAGAACACCTTGATAGCGACTGTCATCATCGCTCCAAAGATCGCTTGGATCGCTAACTAGGTTTTGAGATATACAATCACTCGAACCCATGGAATTATTATGGTAAAAACTAACCTCTCCTTCTTCTTCTTCATCTACCAACTGCCATCTCTGTTCTTGGGATTGAAACCCCCCAATGTTCACATCCTCAACCATCAAAGAGTGATTCAAATTGCTTTTTGGTGAATTTCGACTCTTTGTAACTAGATTTTGATCATATTCATGAAAACCATCAAGATTGTTGTCGGTAAGGTCACGATCAAGCATTCCAGAACAACTTTCTAAAGGGATTTCAAGAACTTTTTGCGGTGGAGCACCAAAGATAAAACCTTTAATCTGCTTAATGATGTTCTGTTCTTCTAAAACCTTGAAGAATATTTAGCAGAATCTTAGAAGCTTAGCAATGTGGTAGAAGAATACAGTAAAAAGGGATTAGAGACAAGTTATACCTTCTCGGTTATGCCAAACTCAACTATACCTTCTAAATATGGAAAGCATACCACTGTCTACATGTCAAAAACGACAAACACGTGAAAGATGGTTTCTGTAAATGGAAATAATGCCTGGTTCATAGTTTAAAGGAGCGAAGCAAGAAAATGGCATACCTGAATTGATGCACTCTGAGGAAGATGGCAGCAATGGAAAAGCAAATAATGAGTTTTGGATTTTAAACAATACGTTAAGTTGGAAAATGACGTTAATGTAGAAAAGATGCTTACTTTTGCTAGGAGAGAGCGACTGAAGACTTTGCTGTCTGCAAAGTGAGCATTGCTTAACCAACAACTTGTATTCTCTGCCAGTGTTCTTCCTGGCAATCTAAATTAGATCAAGTTATGGATTTGCAAGTTAAATTGTATTGAACTTGACTTCGAGGGTGTTTGGTTGGTTTTCCATTAAGTCGTGTATGGATAAAGTTGTCTGTGTGGACTAATCTATCTGTATAGATTTCACAGGTTTTTGTTTCGGAGGGTTTTTCATAGATGGAAAGAGCATATTTTTTAATCGGAAGGGGAATGTTTGGAAAAAACCTGGCTTTCTGCATAAAGAGCCCCTAAAGGATTATTGAGTAAGCCACTTTCTATATTATTAAGCCACTACAAAACAGTCATGTATAGCTGACCAAACAAGCTGTGAGTCTCATTAAGCTGCTAACAAACACGTGCCCTCCTTAATTTGACTTTTTCAAAACCAACCGATCGATGATGAATCTTTTGGAACAAAGAGATCTTAGTACCCAGAAGGGCCAATACACTTGATTAGGTAAATCCAATCACTTTAAACAAAAACAACATTAAAGAAATGAAGAGAATTTACAATTGCTTACCCTTGGCCATCACTAAACTCATATGTCATGCAAACCAAGAAATACCACTCAGCATCTGAAAGATCTTCAGGGGATAATGCAGCTGAGGGCTTCCTTGCTTGTGGTTCATGTTGGTGTGTTTCAGCAGCTGCTGAAAGTGATTCATAAAGCTGTCTTAACTGCTCTGTCCTTTGCAGTCCCACTTCATCATCATCTTCGTTGTCATCATAATCATCATTCATTTCCTCTGCTTGTATTGTTTTTCTTGTCTTGATGTCTCCATTGTAGTACCCATCACACCATGTCAATACCCTAATCCAAATTCTCTTCACATGTGAATATGCATTCTTTAAGCAAAATTCCAGCTTTATAGTTGTACTTTGAGGGAAAAGATAAGGTTCTTAGATTTGGGTTTACCCTAATGAGACATGGGAAGATTTACTTAAGTCAAAAAGCTGGTTGCTAACATGGATAAGGTACAACCCATAAAGTAAATTAAGGGCAAAAGGTATTGCAGAAACTCAAGAACTCCAAGCATCACAAGTCACAACAAAGAAAAAGATGCATCTGAACTTTTGTGATCAAACATTTTACTTTTTAAAACTCAAAAAAAGGAATTACTGGAGTAAGAAAAATCCATCTCCCAAAATTAGCATAATCAAATCATATGATTACCACATTAGATCGGTAATGAAGGAGGGTCTACTGCTATGACACATGAATTCATGGATGGTTTAATTCACCTAATTTCTTCATTAACAGTTGTACCATGTGCTATAAGTTTGTATCTTGAATATATATATATATATATATATATATATATATATATATATAAAATCAAATCATATGATTACCACATAAGATCAGTAATGAAGGAGGGTCTACTGCTATTACACATGAATTCATGGATGGTTTAATTCACCTAATTTCTTCATTAATAGTTGTACCATGCACTACAAGTTTGTATCTTGAATATATATATATATATATATATATATATATATATATATATTATAACATGGATAATAAGATACCCTGGTTCTGTGGAAGAAATGGACCAGAAGATAGCATAGCTCCATTGGATGCTTTTGACAGCCATAGCTAGTTTTTGCCTCAAGTTCTCCATTGCAGTCATAATCTTGTACTCTGTGTGTATATGTGTGTGTGTGTGTGTGTATATATATATATATATATATATATATATCGCTAAGTTTTCACCACAAATGCCCTAATGAAGCATGGGAGCAGTTCTACCAACAACTTTACACCCAATCCAACAACTTGAAAATCTGAAAGCGAGTTCTGATGGGATTTGATGCGTTAGTGCTAGCATAATTGCACCTTGAAAGCTCTGGTTTGTGTGTGTATTATAGATAATCAAGAAAATAGGGCAGAAATTATCTTGAAAATAGTTCTTAAATTAAATTAGTGATCTTTATTTAAAGAAAAAACAATAGAGGGTTTTGTCGTTGGAAAAAAATAGAAAATCTTGGTGGGTTTTCTGGGCAACCTCCATTAATGGTGGATTGAAAGGAAAAGGAGGATAAAATAGAAAGAAGTGAAGATTGGAGCACAGGAATGGAGAGGAATTGATCCACCTGCAAAAGAAGTAGAGCATTGCTATCTGGTAGTCTATATCTATACAGAAACAAGTCAAGTTTTAACATTTATATGTACTATACTAGCTGTTTGTTTAAAAATTACAAGGTTTTTTGATTTTTGTAATTTAAAAAATTTATTTTTTTAAGAATACGATTTATAAAACAATAAGTATATATTATTAACATATATAAAGTTTTTCAATTTCTATAGTGTTGTTATTTTATCATTTTAAATGTTAGGTACAAATCGTTGGATATTTCTAATACCATCATCAATTATAAGACTAATCAACTAAATAAATAATAAATTTATTTAAAATTTTCATTTCATAATTAAATTCATCTTCAAAAACAAACCATTTAATGATAAAAACACCATCTTCTTTATCTGTTTTATAAATGTGATATTTTATTTTTCATCAAAACTTTGAGTTTATAATTGTTTGAACAATTTTATTTCTTTTCGCATGCTCTTTATATCGTATGAAGAAATAAATATAATTACATTTATTTGGAAACAAATGAAATATAAATGTTTTTTAGAGCAAGAATTTGTGTTAGCTTATTGATATCTTCTTTTATCATTAAATATCCTTTTGGTTTACCAGAAAAACAAAGTCAAATTATGATGCAATCAAGTTGGTTACATTTGGCAATAACCTTGGTTTTTTTTTGAAATTTTTGAGATTTTTCTGACCGTTCATGAGGACCCCTTAAATTAGTCGAGGTGTGCACAAGCTAGTTCGGACATTCACGGTTAACAAAAAAAAAAGGACATGGATATATTTTCATTACTATAAAACTATCTTTTTGAAAAGAAAAAAAAATTAAATTGTACTACGGTAACCAAGTACAGACAAATCATATGAAATCAGATACGACTTAATCTTTTTACTATAAACAAATTATCATTCTAATTTGAAAAAAAACACTTTTTTTAAAGGACGAATAAGCTTTTAATACAAGATGTGAAGTAAGAATGTAAAATGGGTAGCTTGCACAACTTCTACGTAATCACTCATTTATACAAAAATGATGGTTGGTTTGTAACTAAAAGACAAAGTATAAGCTTTCATAAAATGAATAAATTGTATTGTCACTAATCAGGTGTTATATCATCTGATAAAATCTTCAGTATTTTATGATGATAAAAAATCAAAATAAAATAGTAAATTCAACCGAGACAGTGAATATCTAAAATCACATATACATACGATCAATCATATGATATAACACCATAAATCAAACATGTCGATTGACGATGACCTAGAAAAAATGTTGACTCTAAAAATTGCCGGATCACATTCTTGAAAGAAGTTGGTGTATTAATTAAGAAGGTAATGGTCCACATAATTGAGGGTGGTTAGAATAGTAGTGGTTTAGGTACATACGTGACCACAATGGTTATGACAAAAGAGGAAAGAAAATGATTAATTACTTCTTTTATTTTAAAATAAATGTCTGAATATCTACAGAAAAAAAAATGTAAAATAGGATTGATAGAAAAAGCATAGTCAGAAATCAAATAGATATAATGAAAAAGAGAAAGATAAAAAAAAGAAAGACACAACTAAATAATGTCTACTGCTTTTCAAAGTAGAAAGATAAATTTATTACTTTTATATTATTAAGAATAAAATTGTTTGTCATTTTAGTTAATTAAAAATGATAACAATTATATACTTTAGAAGTGAGTATATTTTACATTGTAGACATTTATTTGGGAAGTAGGGATTACAAACTTATAATTAGGGTGTTAATGCATTTTGTGCTTTATATGTTATACTCTAAGCATAGCTAGTTGTACCTTCATGTAAATTTTCACTTCCATTGATTTTTTTTAACAAAATAGTACATTACGATTTTTTTAATCCCTTAAATTTATTACTAATTTTAATTTCCATCCCTATAGTTTATACATTGTGGTTTTAGTCCTTATAATTTGCAATTTATTGTTATTTGCATCCCTACCCCCTAACAACCCCATCCCCTCCATTTCACCCATCAGACTCATTTAACTGGATTTAACATAAAAAGATAACGACCGTTGGTGAGAGGAACTATTTGTTGGATTTTATAAACATGGAGGACAAATTAGTAATAAATGAAGATTAGGGACAACTTCCCATGAAAATGACAAACATTAACCAAGTCGAAAATTATGTTGGCAGTTAATTTTCAGAATAGAAAAAAACAGGGAAGCCATACCCGAAGGCCGAAGCTCATGTCGTCCACCGGTTGATGTACCCCTTGCAGGCAATACCAAGTATCATGTTTTCATAAAATATGGCTTTAGCTTAGTAAGTAAGAAGATGAACATCATTGCAAAATGAGTAATATACACCAAGCACCGCCCACCTACCTCTGGGACGTACGATTTATTGGGGATATCCAGAGGATGACATCATACATTTTCTGGATAATTGCAGAACACCCAATTATCCTGATCAAACTCCATCCAGAATGAGTAATTTAGTTATTATTGATGTCACTAAACATGAAAAAAAGCATGGAAGAACATAAGGATGCCATTATAATATGAGTCCCATCTTTCAGCCAAATAAAATGACAGTTTAAGCAAGCCAAATGTAAAAATGACAGTTTGGAGCAAAAAAATGCAAAATTGAAACAAGAGAAAATTAAGTTGTTATCGAAATGAACATCAATGACGACGACGGACAAGTTTGTCCATAGAAGAATCCAGAACATCGATCTTCTTTCTCAGAATCTTTCTTTATAAGGGTCAAGAAAATATCATTTCAGTAATTCTTGGATGGTAAAAGCTTAGGAAAAATTGAAGCAGGCATTGAGATTCTTTCTCTAACATTACAAAAAAAATATAAGGGCCGTTTAATAAACGCTTACCAAGTAATCGCTTACTCCGGCTCACTTACCCTACCAGATTAACATATCAAGGATAAGAATTTTACCCAACAAGAGCGGAGAGTCTTACCCGGTAAATGATGGTGACAACTTTTACCCGGTTAGCGCTTACCGGGTAAATTGTTGCATACAATGTCATTATGATGGACTAAAATCTTACCCGTTAAAGTAACTGATAAAGTTTAATATCACAGGGTAAGCATTTAAGTAAATGGTCCCCTAAGAAAGGGAAATGAAGAAAAATCTAACAAGTCATACAGATAATCAAACCAAACCATACCAAACAAGCAATTTTCTCCCACGGGAAGGTGGGGTAAGGAGGAAGTGAGATGTAAGGAAACATGAGTACATGACCTCCACCCTGAAGAGTAAAGTCGTTGTTTCCGTGAAGACGGTGTGCAAAAAGCAGAAAGATTGTGCAAAAAAATTGCATAAAAAGAAAATCAGAATAACATAAGAAAAAAGATGAACTTAAAAACAAGAAAGATAGTGTTAAATTTTGAAAAAACGAGTTAGAAGCAAGCAACCAAAATCAAACAGACAAACCGAAATCCTAATCAAGGTACGAAGGAATACAGATAATCAAACCCTAAACCCTCAACAAGAGTACCTTGAAGGGAACATGAATTATGAAAGACTAAATCCACTTGTGCTACAAAATCTACGGTTATGCTTCTCCTGTCATCAGAAAGGTATTGCACTATATTCTGCTAGTTTGTTTATATAAACTCCTAATGGCTCGTCCTACAAAGTCTTTATGTACACTGTATTTTCTACCCACAATGAACCAGACATTGATGATAAGCATATGATTCCTACTGCAACAAGCAAAATATGGATAAGAATCCATATTACCACAGATTTCTTTTAATGATCAAAATTCAAATCTTGATCAGGAATCTGTAGCTTGTAATTTTGTTGTGTAACGAATCAATTTAGTTAACATTTTAATGTTTCGATACAATTGCACCAAGTAATACTGTAGAGCAGCGTTACTTCCCTGCCATATAGTCTCAAGTCTGTTTATTGCAAGCCTAAAAATCTATATTTGGGTGTTAAAGGCATTACTTAAGTTTAACCAGTGGCTTTGGTGATCCGCCTTTTTCACAGTGGAATTTACTTCATATAGACACGAATATACCCACAAAGGTCAAAAGTACTAGGGGGTCTCAGGTTCAAATCCAAGGAGGAATAAAAATCCCCTTGTGGCCACGGAAGTTCAAATGCGGTGACTCCGGGCTATCTGCAAAGCATGTGGTCGCTCTGGTATTAATCGGCTCGCATAGCGAGTTGGATATCCAGATTAATCAAAAAAAAAATTATATATATATATATATATATATATATATATATATATACCCACAAACTTCAAGACATTATTACAAGATAAAGGAATCAAGGAATAAAGGATACATATGCATAGCAAGACTTTTGATGCCTCTTGTTTCATCATTTAACCTGTAAATGTCACATTTCAAATTAGTATGCAAAGGATAGTATTAGAATATTAAGTCTATAAAAAAATCTTAGAAAAGTAACAAGCTTTATACATAAAACGCCTCTTCATTTTTTTAATGGCTACTTGGGGATGAAATCAGTACAAATTGTTCGTATTTTTTTACATACAAGAGAATATATATTTATACAAGACCTGAGAGAATCATATCTCTCAAGTTTTCTAATCTAAATGTGATTTTGTTTCCATACCGGGGGTTCAAGGTGGTTTGTTAACGCTTGTTAGAAACCTGGTCAAACCAGTGGCTAAAAGATGGTAGTATGAAAGCATCTAGTTCCACCAAGATATACCGACAAAAGCATGGGACATAGAGTAAATACCTGAGACATGAATTTATGTATCGACTGCCCTTACTTGTTGCATCCAGTGCTGCAAGTATTACAGGATGGTAATTAACAGAAGTCATGATTGATGATTTATGTAACAGATATGAATAAAAAGTAGTATCTAGAGAACAAACTGCTCCTGGATACAGAGAGACCCCCCCCCACACACACACCTTTTTCTCGATGACAATATTCTTTCTGTGTTTGACTAGTGACAAGAAGAAAAATTTTAAATCATCAATGAACGAAGCAAAAGACCTGTGCAGATGCAAACTGGAGGCCAAACATAACACAAGCTCCATACACCACCATTTTTTACTGAAATTTTCTCCAGTAATGCATCACTGTCCTCCCTTGAAAGATGTCCATCTACCCTCTCAAAATGTCCCTTATGGGTTATCTGTTCGTACAAACTTTTTCTTTTTTCTTAAATGGTCAAAATACACAAACTTTATTTGCAGTGAGTGAACCTGTACTCATCAGTGCCTATCAGGCACTTATGAACGATGTTTAATACATTTTTGAATAATCTAAATTGAAAAATGATCACTGAGAATTATTTTTTGAGGTTACTTATTGGCTCTCCAAAAGAAATGCGGGATGCCATAAAGGTTGTGCCACACTTCCTCTTAGTGCTTTGTCTAATGCATGCTTCATATATCAAACCCACAAATAGAGTGCAAAAAGTTCTCACTAACCTGACTCTTGAAGACGACCGGCAGCATCACTAAAGCAATGTATATGATCAACTGTAATCCCACTAACCTATCAAAACATGAACAATCTTGTAAAATAACCGCCACAAGCAAAAAAATGATACAGTTTCCCTTACACTGAACAGTAAACCCAGGTTTAAATCTATCATCTTAGTCCAACAGTAGTCAGGATATCTAGAGTATCCCCTTATAGCGAATACTTCTTACTCCCTGTGCTCCTTTTTGGTGTACATTTACTTAATATTTGATATAAAACCATTACACCTTTAGAATCACCATAAATTTTTAAAATGGGTATCCAAAAGTAAAATAATCCATACCGAAGTTGAGTTTGATATGTAGTATGATTTTACAACCAAACATGGAATTTCTACACTTGTTACAGAACTGGGAGAGTAAACCATTTGCGTGTATTATATGGCCTGATATGCTCAAATCTGTGCAATATTATGTGTGGCTTCTGCTCATTTTTACCTTGTTTAACTACAATTATCTTCTTCGCTTGTTATGCCACTTGTAAACAAGAGTAAACATCAGAATTTATGTTTCTTCTAAAACCTAATATTATGAAGGTAGATTTGGTACGCATAAGATATTTCATTAATACCATGATACTGTGGACAACATCTGTAGTGAATCAACTCAGCTCAAATCACTTCTAGTCGATAAATACCTTCAGCACAATGTCCCATGGATGAACCTACAAGTTGTTCTCTAACGTGAGATGCCGCTTATCTATGAAGTGTGAAAGAATTTGTCATTTCGCCTTCAGTGTTATTCGTTCAGCGCAATCCTAAAATTCGCTATATTGGAAGTACGATTTACACAAACGTCATGAAGGAAATATACTTCGATTTACACAAATGTCATGAAGGAAATATGCTTCGATCAACACTAAAATGCTACAAAGCCATATCATGTATATACATCTTTGATGTTTAGATCATTGCTATTGTAAGCTTAAAGTTCCACAAAACCAATATCATAATATACATACACAGATTACTAATTTTGCTATCGCCGGAAAGTACCTCAGAAAGAGCCAAACGGAGAGACGTAAGAAGAGATGAGAAGCTATTGGCGATGGCAACGGAATCTCTCTCCACCATCTCTAGTGCGCTAAGCATCTCCTTTCGATCGACTGATGAAGACGACGTCAATAGCGAACCCTTCGGTTCTCTTCGATTTCGATCGCTGTTATCATCATCGCTGTGATAATCCTCTTCGGAAATTGGATGAACGGAACCGGAGCCTGAACCTGGGGATACTGCATTTGTTACTTCTTCTTCTGCTTCCATTTTCTTCGCGTTCGTGCTCTCTGTTTCTCCAATAACCAAGGGGTGTTTGGGATTGCTATTAAATAACATCTTCATGAATTATCTGATTATTTCAGTGTCTGATTATTTCAGTTTGAGTGATTAGATAAATAGTTTATACTGATGTCAAATCGGTAATAGTTAATTTTTGAATAAATTAAATTATTCTAATTTATAATAAGTTGATAAAGACTTTTGTAAAAAAATAATAAGTTGTTTCAAATAAGCAATCTCATGCAATCCCTGAAATATTATATTTAGGGTATTTTTTTGGTTTTCTGCAAAGGGCGTTTTTCAAAACACCGATAAACGGTTTATGGAACATTTTATTCATCAAGTGCTAACCGGGTAAAAGTTGTCACATTCACTTATTGAGCAAGACCATAGGTCTTCGTCATCATTCTTACTATATAAGATTCTCGGTCATTGCTATGACGATCTGAAGAGATAATGTGACTTGGTAAATCCTTAATGGGTAAGCATTCGGTAAACAACCACTAAGTCGATATTGATAATACTTGAATTTATCTGTCTGTATAGATTTAAAAAGTTTTTGTTTTGAGGGTTTTTTCATAGGTGGAAAAAAACGTGATTTGTGTGTTTTAATTAGGTGGGGTTAGGTTTGGAAAAAAAAAACGAATTTCTATATAGATATTCCCTCAGTAGCTTACTAGATAAATCAATTTTTATATCATTAAGCAAACAGTCGTGTATAGTTGACTAAATAAGTTGTGAGTCTTATAAGCTCATAAAAGCCACAATACTTGTAAAAATTTGGACAAAAACATTTATACTCTTTATAACAGTGGATATAGTCATAACATGTGATGTGTAAGCGTTAATAATACAAAACATTGTCTCGTCAGATGATTACCATGCGTAAGAAAATACGTCCCTTCAGGTAGTTGGGAAAAAAGATGACGTGTACGCCATAAACATTTGACGGCAAATAATGTGTTATACGGATGTACGATCTGATGGCAGAAAATCAATTACGTGTATAAAGCATATGATGAGAATTTTTTTTTATTGACGTGTGACAGAAAGAATGGTTTTCGTGTAACATGTGATGAGAGAGAACGTGTTCTTGTATGTAGCATGCAATTAGAGAGAATGTGCTTAATAAAAATAACACATTACATGTGTATGATACATGACGAGATATAATGTCTTATCTATACTATAATATAAAGTATTTGACAAAAACTCTTAAAACAATTTTTTATGTATGAAGTACTGTTTATTGATGCATGTTACTTAAAATTTAAGATTACAAATAAATTATGTGTAAGTACAGCTTATTAAAGCTTCATGTTTGAATTTGTGTAACTAACTGTAGATAAACATAGTCAAATACAAAATAAACATTTCATTTTAAATATAAAAAACACTAGAATACAATTAAGATAATTATTAAGTTATAACAAAATACTTAATTATTATATTTATAAAAAATTATATTATTAAATCAAGAATAAATTACTTCGTTATTATATCTAAATTAAATTATAATAAAAAAATAAATAAAAAAAATTAAACAAAAAACAATAACTTTTATGGTTGGGGAAAGGAACAAAAGTTGATTTTATAAGAGACTGAATATCTCCTCCATTAGACACGTTCTAAGACCGTAAGATCCCACATTGGTTGAGGAAGGGAACAAAAGTTTCATTATAAAAGACAAGATACCTCCTCAATTAGACGCGTTCTAAAACCGTGAATTATTTTAAAAAGCTGACAACATTTGATAAAAACTTTTAAAAATTATTTTTGCGTATGAAACACTCTTTTATTGATGCATGCTACTTAAAATTCAAAGTTACAAGTAAACAGTACGTAAGAACAACTTATTAAAGTTATATGTTTGAATTCATGTGACTAACTACAAAAAAACATAATCAAATATAGTATAAATAATTTATTTTAAATTTTAAAATATAATTAAGATAATAATTGAGTTATAACATAATACTTAATTATTATCATTTATAAAAAAAATTGTATTA